CATCAGAGGAATTGCTGGAGGCAGTCACTTTGTGGCTAGAGATTTGAGTCGTATTATTAGGTGAAGCTTCAATATCTGAGACACCTATCTTGTTTTCTGTTGATTTCGACTCATGATCGTGAACAGTGTTCAAGGTTTTTGATGCTGTCATACCAACTTGCGCCTTCGTTACTTGATCCATAATATACTGGATTTCAACATTAGTAAGTCTCGAAATAAGTAACTTGTTTAATCATATGACATCCTATTCCATTGACTTTTTCCTGGGTCATAATATCATATTCCCATCCGAATAGCTTAAGAATTTTTCTTGCTTTATTTGTTATTTTGCGAAAATGCTCATCAGAAATGCCCGTGAGATATGGCTTCATTTCATTATAATCTGGGTTCTTGCAGTCTTATCCTTAAGATCTTTATTTTCGGATATAAGCATAAATCTATCTTCGTATTTTTCAGAATAGCGACCAAAATTTCTTCCTGCTTAGCTTTGATAGATTTTTTTCTCGCTTTATACTAGCCTGATATAACAAATGAGCAAGCTCATCAGGTGCAGAATTTGAAGGTTTACTACTAATGATTTCAATACTTTCTCCTATAGATTTTACCGAAAGTCCTCGTAACAAACCTTGTACAACTTCACGTGGCACGTGTGTACTAGCTTCAGCTGAATTCCCGATAGATTTTTGAGATATATTTTCTATAGATTCTTTTGGTGAAGTCTTTTCTTGATCGTGAACAGTGTTCACGGTTTTCATATCACATGATAATGGAGGTGATATCAACTCTCCTAATTTTCCTGAAGAGTCTTGTTTTTCCGAAGAGGCCTCTTGATATCGAAGCTTTTTCTCCTTAATGCTCTAAATAATCTTTTTTCTATCCGTTTCTCTATGCATTGTATCTAGGATTTCATCCATTTCCTTGTCTTCCAATGATTTATTCTCCGTTTGAATGAACAATGCAGAAGACTCCTGGCGTATATCAGAATTAGATATATTAGACTCATCATTATGTGAATTATTTGTTCATGGGTATTGTTAGAATTTAAAGTGTTATCAGTTATATCAGATGATGGAGCATCAGGAGTATCGTTGGAATTTATTAGAGATTGTGAAACTTCTTCTTTTGTGGAAATATCTTTTTCTTTTTCTAATACAGCGATCCTGGTCTCAAGCTCTATATTCTTTTGCTCTAGTTCCTTAACTCTAGCATCGCGCTTTGCATTCTCTTCTATAACCTGTTTTAGCTTTGCATTCTCAGCCTCAACCTTGACAAATTTCTTTTCAAGCTCGGCAATCTCAGCCAAGAGTTTAAGCATTTACAGTAATTCTCTTAATGAAGCAATTCAGTTTGTGAACCTTTAGATTCGCCCTTTTGGGCTTGTGCATCTGACATTTCTTTATATAAAACGTTATATATTTAATTTATCATACGAAATCAGATCATTTCTTGGCAAAAAACTATGAACACTGTTCACGATCAGAAAAAAAATTTTATTAACACAATATAGCGAAGCTAACGTCGAAGACACTTAAATACAAGTAAGGTGGGTAAGACACAGAGTGTGTCCCGCTGAGCAGACTATTTATCCACTATTTTTTGGTAATTTTTTTTTTTGATTCGATCTCTCTTACTAGCAGGAGAGTTACCAACAGTAACCGATCTTTTAATGGACCGACGATGATTTCTATTATCCGTTTTATGTTACTTCGAAGTATATCAGGGTTCTCTTTGATTGCCATCTTCGAGAGATTTATCTGATATTCGCTCTCACTGGTGCAATAAAGCCCATCGGTGGTGAAAACAAGAAAATGCCAATCAATACCCGTGGATACAATTCCGTAGAGATAGTCATAGTCGTCATTCTCAAACACTTGTTCAGCTGTCCTTTTTTTCTTATTTGGCGGTACGCACTTTCGAGTTGCATAATATTCTGGAGATAACTGATCTTAATGTTACGAGGTTTTCCTTCTGCGATACACGAGATCTTCTTTTCCCTTGATCGCATAGTCAACACGGCCAGATGCTTCTTCACCAGAGACGTCCTTCTGCAATGATATGTAGAGCTTTTCCTCTTTGGTAAGTCTTCGAGTGATGCATGTTAAGATGGAGGAAATAAATTCACAGCGGGTCGCTTCGTTGGCATCGGTCATAGTCTCAATATTCGTTATAATTAGTATTATAAACTGCTACACAGTGCTTAAGGGTTTCGTCATTATATACAGTAACAGAAACATAAGTATTTTATACGTGGAATTTTCGAATGCTTTACTATAAAAAATAAAGTACTACATACCTGGACGATGCTTGTTATATCCTCTCCATTGACCTTATATTTACGAAGCACATCCTTTAATTATTCCAACGTTTTATATGACGAGAAGTTACGTATATTTTATTCTGTAAGTTCTTCAACAAATTTCGCAAGTCTTTTAGCGGGACCAGCTTTCAAACCATAGTTGCGGAATTCTTCTTTCGTTGTCTCAAAAAAGTCGAAACCAGATAACTTTTCTTTACGTAATTGATAAATCGTCATCCAAGCTTAAATTCTCCTGCCTTCGGTTTTATATTTCTTGACTACGTCCACCACCGTGCGAGCTGGCCTCACTTCCGTCAAAGTAGATGTAGAAATAGGTGAGGAAGGTGAAGAAGCATGTGAGGACATGTTACTTTTATACATGGAAATTTGCAAAATCTTAGCTAGGTAATGCGATGCGAGTGATTTTATCATAGATAATCGGTGGTTTATATGCTTAATAAAAGTTACGCGAATTTATCGGGATGCATCGTTGTTTTATTATTACATATCGCTCTTACATGTTATAAAAAATCGTTGGCAAAGCCTAATTATCCTGATACAAGAATGCGATAAACATTTTGTTCAAGTTCTTCCTCTTCTGGAAAATAATTAGAAGTTGACTTATTATCTAACACGGGTCGATAATTCATAGGCCTGGGATAATATGCACGGAGAGAAAAAAACAACATTACAATATGGAAGTGGTAAGTGACTCACTCGAATGATCTCGGATTTTGCTTTTAAAAATGGGACCCCGCACCCTGGGAAATCAGAACTCCAAAATCAGCATAGCTACGAGGAACACCAATGAATGAACCAGTAGGAATGACGAGACAATTAAGAGTAAATATCCATAGTGAGATTCTATTTTGAACCTGATATTAATGCACCGATGATACGTACCTTTGAAAATTTGTGGAAATGCGTCATACGGATATAAAGTATCCTAAGAAAAAGTTTTCTCAAAATGTGCTTATATACAGTATATCACAACCGAAACTCGTCAAAAGACTCACCTATTAATTAAATCTCCCATTCCTACCCCAGCGAGACCTTCAAAAATGTTATGTTTTAGCCTCCATATAAAATGTTGTTATGTACAATTAACGTCAAGGCGCATGAATGAAACTCCTTTAGGTTCAACATCATCGAAAATTGGTTAATCGCAATGACGATCCGGAATTGCGAGGATTTCGAAGCCCCATAAGTCTTAATTTCTGATAACAGTACTGATATGAATCAACAGACTCTTTACCCTTGTTGCCTTTTTGAGTTTCGTTTTCACTAGTTCTTATCACAATAGCATGTATAGAATAGAGAAGTTTTATAAAGGATTATCGCACGTTCACGAACTTCTATCCCGACGTGGTCTGATTGGTTAATAATTTCATTCTGATTTATACTATTATTTGCTACTATTGGGTTTGAGAGCTTAGTAAAGAAAATGATCCTGTAGCTTTATCTTTAAAGAGATTTATTATAAGCTCTTTAATAATAACAGGAATTTATATTTGATCTATTATTTTTCTAATATGAAGAGATTTAGACTTTATAACTCTTTTTTTTTTTGACTTTTTCATATATTGTATATTATTTAAAATTCTACTATACCTTCTTCTTATTAACAAAACTTAATCTTTTATATAATATTTATACTAATAGTTAGATAGTTAGGTTTTTAATATAATCTTTTTAAATTATTTCTAGAAAAATATTAAATTTTATATTATTGAAATTATATTTTCAAGATTTGAATTTGAGAATAAAATAAATATTATTTTTCTATTTCTTGAGTATTTAATCAGAAATTAAGATATTTTATAACAAATATCACTAGTCGAAAAAAAATTATTTGGTATATTGCCACTTATACAATATTTGGCAAAAATAAACAATTTAGTAAAAAAATTATTCAGTATATTATCACTTTATATAACATTTGGCAAAAAATAAACAATTTAGCAAAAAAATAATATAAATAAATCAACAACTACAAAAATCAACATATTAACAATTTGTAAATAATTCGTTGCCAATTTGGCATTAATTCATTAACAATTTAACAATAATTCATTAAAAGTTTATCACAAAATTATTTATTAACAATTTAATAAAAATTCAACATTAATTTATTAATAGTTTATCAAAAATTCGTCAACTATTCATTGAAAATTCAGCAACTATTCATCAAAACTATTCATTAAAAATTCATTAACTATTTGTTAAAAAATTAGCAACTATTCATTAAATTATTTATTAACTATTTATTAAAAATTCAGCAACTATTCATCAGCAATAAAGTAAAAAAATTGATAAACTTATGCACAAATTTTTTTGAATTGAGATTATATTTATAAATTATAAATAATACAAACTATAATATAATACCTAATATGTTATTTATATTATTATAATTTGATTAATTATATATTTTCATATAAATAATACCAAACAATATATAAATATAAATAATTTTTTTCACAAGTTTTATAAATTTTTGGATAAATAGTTGCTGTATTTTTAATGAATTATCAATAAACTTTTAATGAATAATTTAATGAATAGTTGCTGAATGTTTAATGAATTGTTAATGAATTTTTAATAAATGGTTTTAATAAATAGTTGCCAAATTTTTTAATAAATAGTTAATGAATTTTTGATAAATTTTTTGTGAATTATTAATAAATTTTTATTAAATTGTTAATAAATAATTTTGTAA